GGAGGGCTTTTAAGTGGGACTTTTTGTATGCATTAAGTTATAAATCATGAAGACAGGTCATCTCAGGTAGTGAGAATGTTAGATGCAAAGTTCAGATTCATGAGGATAAACTGATGATACACTAAATTTTACAAAATACAAATTAGCATTTCCGTATTTTGTTTGTTGTAGCTGGGATACCATATTGAACCACAGATTATCTAATTAATAGGAAGTCAATTTAAATGGTGAGCTAGTTCATGACCTAAAAAAAATTATTAACCCCACTGTGTCCTGCTGACCTACTCTGAAAGATGAAGGCACTGATCTGCTTCCTAGGGATGTTGCTTAGTATTTGAAATTGCTGTGAAACTATCAAGCCATTCTAAAACATGAACAACTAGTACAAATTCTTTGGGAGTTATGTGATGAAAGACAACAAGATTTTTAAGTCTGTAGACTGGAATAAGTATAAAGAAGAAAATAATTGTTGGCTCCCTTCCACAAATACTAAAGGAGTTTCTACTGCTGTACCTTTAATTAAAGCAGGCTAAACAAATGATTGATATTGCTTCAACTTTTTCCTTATAGGATAAGTTCTGAGAGCTTATCCAGATCAAAGAATTATAAAAGATAATGTAGATAAAAATTCAGCTAAATTACAACTGGTGCTGTGTGAGTAGTATAATTTATTAGATAAATTTGAAAATATACAATTGTGAAAGCAGAGGTGTGTCTACTTCTCAAGAGGGCATGCCTTGTTACTTTTACCTGCATAAAATATTAGGCTTTTAACAGTCAAGTGATAGATTCAGTAATAGGGAAGTGAGAGTGACAGGACAGTAATGAAATCAACAGCTAATATAATCCCTAATAATTGCTGAAGGCTTACTATGTGCCTGACATTACACTATGTGAGTTGTTTGACTTGCATCATTCATCTCATCTAATACCTCCCCCAAACTTGTGTATACATACACATATCATATATGTGTATCATACATGTACATATGTATAGTGTATATTAATCGACACACTGATAGATGATTTAATGTGTCTGTATATTTTCCCACTAGAGACTGAGTCCTTCCATTTTTTCTATTTATAACAGTGTTGCCTGGATCAATAGTACTTTTTCATTGTGATGTCTGAGGTGAACTGACTTTTCCAGCCCTTTCTAAAAGCAACCTAAATCTTGGTTTTATGATATATTTTGATATTCATATCTAGTATGCAGTGGAAGTGGTCAGGAAGAAAAGAGAAGTGCTGAGACATGGAAGCAGTTGAACCTGGTGACTAAGTGTATGGACTCTGGAATATAAGCTTTGGAGTTCAAATTCCGGCTTTACTACTTATTGCCTGTGTACCATTGGGCAAGTTACTTAACTCTTCGGTACATAGGTTCCTTTATCTGCAAAATGGGAATAATAATATTTCATAGAACTTTTTAAAAACATGAATTTCTACTGCAAAACACAAAGCACATAGAATAGTGACTTTCACATAGGAGTTATTCAAATTATGTTGCAAGATATTTCAATATAGATGGCAAGACGCTAAATGTTATGGCTCTGCATGGGAGTAGAAACCAAGGGGGCAATGAGGATTGACAGCCTCTCAAGTAGAGGCTTTCACAATGGTTTAGTGAAAGAGGGACAAGAAAGAAGTGAAAGTGCATAAAGGCAAATTAAACAGAGGTAAGATGCAAATGTCAAATAACGATATGTAAAAGAACACAATTTAACAATACAGAAATTGAGTGAGAAGAAAACCTATAAACTTTCCTTTCTGGCTGATTGTAGAAGCAGTGAAGGCAAGAGCTTCTTAGGGGAAGTTATAATAGACACATAGACATCTGGGAGAGCTTAGAGGAAGTGGAGGAAACTGTGAGTAATAGACAAGATTAAACACAAACTTGCCCTCAGAGGATTGGCGAGAGAGGTCAAAAAGAGTATAATGGAAATGAAGGGGATGTGAGTGTCAAAAAAGAATTTTATAAGAGAATATAAGGATAATAAATTTGTGCTGAGAAAGTGGGTGGGCGAAATAGGAATGAGGAAGTCCTGGGGCAAAAAAAAAAGAAGTAGGATGTTATATGAGGCAGAAAGAATCAACAGGCTATTTTCCATGCACCATGAGATTTAAAGATAAAGCAGGCACAGGCCCAGGGTTGAAAACTGAGGGCAGTCAGGTGATAAACATATAGTCATATAATTGTGCAGAAAAAGGGTTAGTAAGTTATTTCCATCACTAATTTTCAGGGAACTACAAGTCAAAACTACAATGAGATCTCACTTTGCACCAGGTTAAAATGGCTATTACCAAAAGACAAGAAATAACAACTGTTGGCAATGATGTAGAGAAAAGGGAAGCTTTGTGCACTGTTGGTGGCAATGTAAATTGATGTAGCCACTATGGAAAACAATATGGTGGCTCCTCAAAAATTAAAAAAAATAGAACAACCATATGATCCAATAATTTTACTTCTCAGTATATATCCAAAGAAAACAAAAACACTAACTAGAAAATATATATGCACCCGTGTACACTGCAGCATTATTTACAATTTGGAAACAACTTGTGTTCATAAATAGATGAAAGAAATATTATTTAGCAATAAAAAAATGAAATATTTTCCTTTGTGAAAAAATGGAGAGACTTTAAAGTATTCTACTAAGTGGAGTAAATCAAATGGAGTAAGACAAATATTATATGATCCCAAGCACATGCAGAATCTAAAAATATTGCACTCATGGAAAAAGAACACATCGGTAGATTCCATAAGTGGCAGGTGGGTGGTACATAAAATGAAGAAGGGGGTCAAGAGGTACAAACTTCCAGTTATGAAATACATGAACTCTGAGGATATCGTGTACAACTCTACTTGATGATACTGCATTTTATATTTAAAAGTTGCTAAAGTGGGCCTCCCCGGGGGCGCAGCGGTTGAGCGCTGGGTTGCGAAGCTGCCCGCGGCCTCTGTGGCGCCGGTTCGATCCCCGGCTGCTCCCTGGCCACCGGAGGAGGGTCCCACATGGCGCGCAGACCTCTCCTGCCGCCCGCTGCTCCCCTCAGCAGTGTACTTCGGTCATTCTGCCTGCTCTGCTCCCCACTCTGGCTCTGGTGAATTCTTTCACCCTCCTGCGCTTCTGACTGTACCCAGTGCATGTATAAACAAAACAAACAAACAAATAAATAAATAAATAAAATGCCTCTATTAAAAAAAAAATCTTTAAAAAAAAATAAATAAAAGTTGCTAAAGAATAGGCCTTTGAATCATTAAGTTGTACACCTGAAACAAATATAATGCCATAAGTCAATTATATCTCAATAAAAAATACATAAATAACATTCATTTCATTAGTATCTCAGCTTGATGCAGAAAATCCATACTCAAAGTATGACACACACTCAGAGTTAAGGCTTGATCCTGGCTACACATGAGTGTTTAGGATGTAGAACTCCTTTTCACACCTATGAGTAGGTGTAAATTTGGGTAAGAATGTACTGTTCACAATTTATTGAGCCAACTGTGTTCTAGTATGACCAATTTATTAATTTTAGGAATTTTGACAAAGGTGTAATTTTAAAGCAATCTAGTTAAGGAATTGAAAATAGCTTTACAGACTTCTAAACAACTGTCAGTTATATTTGAATAGCTCAGTCAGATTTTAACAATGATTCTGACCTGCTGGAGAAACCTTTGATCCCAGAGTGTTTGTAGTGAAGCAGAAAATTGAATAGGTATGAATGGAGAAGTTTGTTCCAGGAATTTATGACATGAGACACTCTAAATAATTGAACTTTTTGTTTTTAGAGCACTTACATATGTTAATCTGTTAAATATATTTTCCCAAAGGAAATATTTTTCTACAAGGAGGAAATAAATATTAATATATTTTAATTCTAGTAGTCTCGTTTTTTTCTCATAAAATATTACCTTTTTTCGATAAACATTCAAATCTATAGAGACATGAACTTTCAGAAGTAAAGGGGTTTTTTTATATGATTTATGTTGAGCTGAGTGAAAATCTCAACTCTAGGTGGCAGTTTACTCCATCACTTACCTTCGTTTAACAAGCCGTAGATTCATTCACAGTTTTTCCATGAATGCATAATTTTGTGCAAAAATTAGTCTCTGGCTCTCAATATCTGTTAAAAATAGATCTGATTTTAGGAATAAAATCATGGCTAGAGATGCAGGTTTTTCATGTATCTTGTCAGCTTTGGTTTCATTAACTTGATGGAATGAAGCAAAAAAAAAAAAAAGATAAATGTTTTAACCATTTTGAAGGAACATAATCCTCAAATTATGACAATAGTTCTATGTCAAGCCTGTCTTTCTATCATACAGAACAGAGTTTACTCTGAATATTTTTCTTATAAATACACTAATTTTCAGAAATATTAAAGATGTCCAAGACTGGATTTTCTGAGATTGTTGAATGGTATGACTGAAGGGAAAATGCCTTGTAAAAAAGGAAAATGACTCATATCTGTGTTTCTTTGTGCCTCATTGATGGAAATAGCCAAACTTAAAGTTTAGTTAGGTTGTCAAAAACCAAAGTACTCAGACTGCATGATAAAAAAAAATAATGCTTCCATCGCACCTAAAAACCACATCTGTATGAGATATTTTGCTTTGTTTTCTATTTTTAAAGACCTTATAAAGGGCTGTGTAGGATAACTTCAGGCACTTGCCACCTAAGCAACTTGCTATACTTCACTGTTGTTTCATTTTTTAGTAGTAGCAGGGGGAAAATGGGTAAGAATTTAAACTTTCTCCTGAGATTCTTTCTTTGAAAAAAATGGGGTTAATAACAGTACTTCTCTTTGTTGTTGTGAGCCTGAAATAAGATTATGTTTATACACAATAAAGGGCAGCAGCCAACGCATATTAGGTTTTCTTACTATTCCTATTTTCTTATTTAAAAAGGATATCAACGAGAGTCTCAAGAAGATTGATCCATGTGACGAACTCATAAAAAACTTTCATTTAGGAGTTGCACACTCTTGGTTCCCCTGGGTCCACTCTGGTCTCCATACTCTCCTTTGTGTAAAAGGAATAAAGGAAAAAGCCATATGGTATGGGCATCGGGGGTGAAGATATTAGTCACTGAAGTGAGAAAATGAACAATTTCTACGATGTGTCTAATTGCTTATAAAAATGAATATAAAATTATTTTTGGCAAAACTTGGAATGGTTTCTGTACTTCTCCTGAGGGGGGTGTGTTTATGAGTGCAGAGATAGAGATATGCATTGTAATATCATCACCATCTGCACTCTCATCTTATTGAATGACATTTTTCAGTTTATGTAGAAATCAATGGTATCAACTCTTAATAGAATGCTATTTCTTATTTCACTCAAGTTCCATTACTAAGTGATTCACATAAATGTCTAAATAAAACATCTTCTATCTTACACCAAATTAATCCCCAAAGGCAAAGCGCTCTAACTGGCATGTCATAGAGGGAACAGGTATTAGGTATGCTGACGTACTGCTCTTCAGAGGTCTCAAGGCTTTGAGCTGGGACCTGGAGCAGCTGTGTTTGGGGCCAGTTGACTTCAGCAGTAACCAACCTTTTCGTATTATAACCCAGGTTGCTATACATTTATTATTACTTCCATGTATAAGCTCATCTAGACAATGTTGGAAAGAACTATTCTAGAGTCATCATCAAGCAGTCTCATTACAAAGGGCTGAATATGTTCCATAATTGTAAGATCGCTCAGTAATCTCAAAGAAATCACAATTTAAAAGCTTTTGATGATTCCCCATTGCTTATTTAATAAAACCCAGAGTTTCATAGTGGTAATTGAGCCCATATATTATCTGGCTCCAGGTTGCCCTTCCTGTTCCATTTTCCACCAATATCCTTCCATGTGCCACATTGTAATGCACCTTCTCCACCTCATTTCCATATACCCAAATTCTACATGATTCAGATACAACCTTTGTAGCTCTCTTGTTTTCCTTGAACAGAAATTAATCCTTTCCTTATTTAAGTGACTTCAATCATTTTTTTTTTTTCTTTTTGGTCATTCCATGTCCTATATGGATCTTATATCCTGGTGTTAACTAGGATTAAGTTCAGCTCCATATAATAGAAAATTCCCAAATTTTACCCAGAAAATAAGAGCTTAAATAAATTATTTTGTTTTCTCATTCACATAAAGTCCAGAAGAAGTTACTAAGAGCTGTTTCAGTGGTCCACAGCACCACCAACCTAGATTCTTCTTCTGTTGTTGCTGGCTTTCTTGACACATGGCTCCAACACCATGGTCCAAGATGGCTGCTCAATCTGGGAACATTGTATCAGCAACATAATCAGCTGAAGGAAGAAGGAAGAATTGCTTTACTTTTGTACTTTAAGAACTCTTTCTGAAAGTTGCATATAGCACCTCTACTTATATTCGATTAGCCAGGATTAAATCACATGTTCACATTTACCAACAAGGTCAGCTGAAAATGTAATTTTCCCCATGTGACCTCTAGAGGAGAAAGTGAGGATGATATTGGAGACAGTTGTCAATTAATCAATTAATTTCTGTTCCATTCACCAATGAGAAATATAAACTTTTTGAAAGATTCATATTTCATTTAATTTAGTAATTCTGGAATTGAGAGTCATATATATTAATATAGAATGAATGAATATACACATAAGAGTACAGCATGCAAATAATAATTGTTTACTCTTTTACTAACCCCCTTAAAATCAAATGACATTGAGTATTGAGCTTGAATATATTTAGAGTCAACATTTTATTATGCTCACTTGATTACAGGCCATAGAGAAAGAGAGTGATATTTAAGTATAGGAAAGCAAAATAAAAAGAGATCACTCCAACTGTTTTGGAAATAAGAATCTGGAAATCATGTGTATTAGACCTACCTTCACACCAAATTGTAATTTCTTTTCAAAAGCTTATTGTCATTGCCCGACTCTAATTACCTACATGGACCAACATTCTAAACTTATAAATCTGACCCTTCCTGATTATTGGAAACATTGGAACTGTCAATTATAAATTAATTGCACTCACCTTTCTGTTCCTCTCTCTTTGAGGTCAGTGACACTGATAGTTATTTGGATTTGAATAAGCTTTGTAAAATACACCCACCCAAGCCTTACCCCCACCAATGAAAGATGCTGGCTCTGGAGATAAAACCCCTTAAAAGTCCCATATTCACTATAATGTATAATTTAATTCATCCAGCTCTATTTCTAAATTGTGATTTAGGAAGAAGACTATTAAATTTCACACTCTAGTTCTCTTTGAATCATTATTTGGTCCTCTAAAACTTGCTACCACATTTCACATGACGGTTCAATGCACATCCTCACTTATAGACAAATACACTATTGTGAATAGAGTGTTTCATTTGGGCAAGAACAAGATGAAGAGGGGAATCGGAAATAAACATCCATGGGAACTTAAAAATAAGTTGTACCCCTTTCTTTTATACTCTCTCACAAATGACTGCAAACTCTTAATTGCTCTAATTTTCTCTTATGTGCCTACCATATAGCTGTCTTTGCTATTAAACCTTAAGATATTTTAAGTTCAGAAACATATTCTTCATAACTGACAGGAAGATTTAAAATATAATCCATCCATTTAATCAACAAATATTAATTGAGTGACTATAGTATGTAAGGTACTAACATCAACACCTGATGTGTGCACAGAGATGAATTCCATATCAGGTTGGCTCTCACAAATATGACAAGTCAACCACACAAAATAAGTATCACACAAAGAGTATTGGTTAACATTAGAGCTACATGTGAGAAATAGAGAAACTCAAAATCTCAATAATGTAAAGTTATTTCTCTTTCATTTTAAGAACTTTAGAGGAGGTCAGTCCCATTGATAAACCATGGTGGCAACATGGCAGCAATGTGTCCGGCTTTCATTTCCAAGACTCCTTCTACAATAGTTTCCTAGGGCTGCTGAAACAAATTGACTCAGAATTGATGGTTGAAAACAGACAAGTGTCCAGAACTATGTCCAGAACTAGAATGAACTTCTGTCTTAAAAACAAATAATCAAAACCCAGAAATTTCTTTTCTCACAGTTTTAGAGGCTAGAAATCTGAAATAAAGACATATAAATCTTGATTTACATAAACTAGAGAATCCTTCTTGCATCTTCTAACTTCTGATGGCTCTATCTGCTCCATGACTTGGGGCTGTATAAGGCTTAACTCTGCTGTGTGTTCTCATTGCTGTCTCCCCAGTCTGCTACCTTGCATCTGCTACATGTGTCTGTGTCTCGAATGTCCCTCTGTGTTTCTCTATAAGAACACTTGTCATTGGGTTCAGGGTCCACCCTAAATCCAGGATGATCTCATCTCAGGATCCTTCACTCAAAGACCCATCTTCCAAATAAGCTTCCAAATAAGCATCCAAATAATAAAGTGACATTTACAGTTCCCAGGAAGACATGTATTTTGAAGAGTCATAATTTAACCCACTGTACACTCTTACTTTAATAATGCTTCCCAAAAATTGTGACCATCAATTCCATTTTATCCCATTAAATATTATTTTGTGTTCATATCTAGCTCTGTGAGCAGCCAAGAAATGTAGTCTTTATTCTGGGCAATCACATATTCATTTAAAATTTAATATTTTCAAGTACAAAATGACAGTGTTTTACTAAAAAATTATTTAGAGATGTTATGGATTATTACAACCTACTTGCCCATTTGGGCCAATGTTATCTTGATAAATTAGACTTGAGTACATTATAACAAAATTAATAAGCTCCTTGTGAAGTATGAACTATAAAAGCCCTGTGGGAATTTGTTACACAGCAAATTCCATAATTGCCACATTTTTTTCAGGAGTTTGTGAGGCTTAGTGACATTAGTAACAAAGCCTCTTCAACTCTTCCTGCAGTTGCTTTCTATGCCTCAATATGAATTCCTTATAAACTATGAGGATCACAAACTTGTTTTTTATTGAAAAAGGAAATCATTTGCTATTTGATAAGAAAAATGTTTACCTCACAAACCTATAAACAGTGGGCAGTAAACTGTACCTTTTTGAAAAGCAGCATTTGACTATATAGTCGGTTGAATCAGACAGAGCCATTGCTATAGAGCTGAGAAAAGTAGATAAATCCTTAGGATTATGAGGGAAATACAGTACATGAAGAGACATTTCTGGGACTCAGAAAACAGTTCAAAGTTTTAGGCAGTACATCTTGGTTTATAAATATGAGGGGAAAAAAGTCCCCAAAATATAAGTGAAGATCAAAACATCACAAACCTACAGACTAAAACACATTGCTCTTGTCATCTTGGAACTTCCTCTGTAAAAATTTCAGTCAAACTTAGGTCTTCTCACAAAAGTTATGGGAGGGGTTTGTTTTACTGTTTTGTTTTGTCTGTCCTTGTGACGATAATAATACATTTATAGCCAATAATACATTTACAGTAGACTATCAAATACAAAATTATCTTGATCGTCCTAGTTGCTTTTCTTCACATGACCCCCTTTACTTAACTAGAATTTATTTTTTATTACCCAACTAAAGTTCTGTATGTACCCCAAGTAGAATGCCTTATGTTAAAGAAGAATCTTATATTTGCTACATGTTGCACAGATTCAACTGGTTTTAGGTAATCTACATTCTCGTATGAGGAAGTGATAGGAGAAATAGAAATCTCTTTCTCAAGGAATATAAAACATAATTTATTTAAAAAATCACTGACTCAAAGTTACTAATCAAGTTTGGATTCCTAAACCCATTTTACTGTTCTTGACTGTACATTGCCTGTCAGGGCAGACTGGTTTATGAAGGCAGAATGAACATTTTCCTTCTTGTTCAAAGTATCCATCTGAAGAATCTTAGCCCACAGAGAGAGAAAAGCTCCAAGCTATAAAACAACTACTCCCTGTCTGTATTATATGCTTAGTTTATTCCAGATTTATTACATGTGCTACCATTTAGGAAATCCAGGTGCTATTTATGGCTATGTTTTGTAAGGAATTTTCCATTTAGCAGTCAGTGTTCTATACACACAGGCAATTCTTAATTTTTAAAAACCTATTTAACTTTCACTATCACTAAACTTTAATACTATAGTATTAGTGAGACTTATGGAAACTGCAAATAGGAAAAAAAGGAAGTCTAGATTTCATTCCCTTGTTTCCTTGGAAACAAGCAAAATTTCAAATAAAAAGCTTTCTGATTTCTTTTTGGTATTTTTCCTTTCCTTATCTCCTCTTGGTCCAGTCAATTTCAGTTTCATCTTCCTGCCTTAAGTGCCCTTTGTAGAACCTCCCTGAGGCTCATCCTACTCTCCAGTGTGCACAGCCCTCCCCCCAAGTCCACACTTTAATTTCTTTCCCCACAAGTTTTCTTTAGATTTTATAAGAAAGCAACTGATTGAGTTAGTTCAAATTTTTGTGTCAGTTAACAATAGTTTCTTTAGTCTTACTCATATTATTAAAGGATGATGTTGTCCAATAGTAGTTCACCACAAAAATTGCATTCAAGCAACAATGTGAAATGAAATATGCAGTTGCTACCTTAAGTCATCTAGGGGACCTTTTAAAATTCCAGATGCTCAAGCCAAAGCTGACACTTATTAAATTAGAATATATTGGAGTAGAATCTCTTTTTTCTTTCCTTTTGGGGTAGAAGCTGGCCTCAAGTTGCTTTCAAAGCTAACCTGGTGATTAAGGTGGCTATTGTTGAGGATATTCTGGACTAGTTTTTCTTGACTTTGACTTAGAACACTTGGGTAGATTTTAATTTAAATAACAATGCCCCAGAAGTTCCTATTATAAAAATTGATTTAGGCTAGCTACTAGGTAAAGATATTTGTTCAAATTTTCCCTAGAGATTATAATGTATGCATAAGCTGGAGAAACTTTGGCAAATACTTTTGAATTCAGTACTCTATCACTTCCTTTCTCCATGATATTCCTGGTCAGCTGGTAATAGGCTTCTGTCTCCTGTTCAAGACCTACTTCCGAAACTGTACCCAGAGCCTTATATTTGGATCCTTGTTTTTGTTTCTTTCTCTAGCTCCTGACTTAATACCCATATGGTGTTCTATTGGTCTGTTGTCCCCTATCTTGTTAGTTTCCTTCTTGGGCACAAGAATTGACTCTCAAGATATCCTGCTGACAGGTCTTCTGCCTGAAATAGTGGTCTGCCTGCTGGGATTCCCAGATGTTATGCTTCTCTGAGTTCTATATCATCACGTTGTTTGCCCCAAGATGCTTTCCTCACATCACGAAAAATTCTCCCTCGCTGTGGTTTGCCTCTATTACAACCTAGTGCCTCTATCCACTCCAGGTGCCACAGACTGCACATACCCTATCACAGCTTTAGATCCAGGTTAAATATTCTCCTAGTCTGCACAACTTTGTTGCAGACAGCAGATCTCATCAAAAGACTGTCTTTATGAGTGACACATTTTATTGTCAATCCTCCTTCCTGGGAGCCCACATTAAAGTAAATTTCCTCACACTGTTGCTGACCTATATTGTATATATCTACTTTTATGCAATGATCCTGTATTTCTCAAATCTGCTCTTTAATGAACTGTATCTCAAGTACCACTATCACCATCTACACATCATCCCAAGCTAGGCGAATTTGGAATGCCCTTGCCTGCCTTGTCCTCCACCTCCAAGTGGTCATTGCACATTCTTTTTTAATTCTACCAACTTTCTCCACATTGTGTCATTTCTCCACTTGTCTTTCTAAAATAAATGACAACATCATTCATTTGCTTAAAATTTTCTTATTCCCCTCTGCAGACAAAAGGGAGTTCTAATTCTTAAGTGTGGCACCTACAGTAAAATGAGTAATATATATTATTATCAGGACTGTGTTAAGAACCTCCTATTTTTCAGTCTGTCCTTGCTCCTTGTGTGCAATACCATTTCATACACTTCTGCCCTTTGCCTTCCTTCCAATCATCTCGAATAGGCACTGTGTCCTCATGTATGTTTGCCATATTTGTTGTTACTTCTGCCTATAGTACCTAATGAATTGCCTTAATTTTTATGTCTGTCTACCAGTTATTATACAAGTAGAAATTTTTACTTCATTTCTGTTTTCCTGTCTCTGGCACATGATCGATACTCAACAAATGTTAGAGCTATTGCATGAGATGCTGGTCACAGTTTCAATTATACAAAAATGTGAATTGTATTATTTTACCCACATAAGTTAATTGTTGTATGCATTCTGAGACCATTTAACAGGAAATTTGTGAAGAATTTAATCCCACATTTTTTTTCCTCCTGTTTTTTGTCACAAGCATCTTTGCCTAATCATCTAGTGCTGTTAGTTGCCATAAGGAAGATATGAGAGAAACAAAAATAAAGGACTAATACTGATTTCTGAAATTTTATGGCATAACCCATAATAGGTCTATGCAGTTTGATTTGTAAGAGCTGATCAATTTGAAGGAGAAAAATATTATAGGTCCCTAAAAGTCAGAGCTTGGAGAACTGAATAAAGTTTTCGGAAGAGTCTTTCAAATTTTTTTGCATAGTTACTAACAGAAATAAATACATTTCACATCTTGAGGAAGTATACAACTGACAAGTGAATAATACTTATAAAATAATACTAGCCTTATTACATAAAGAACAGTGTTATCTTCTATTCTGTTTGATTCTATTTAATTTTAACAAAAATAAATGATATTATGACCTATTAGTGAGTCACAGTTAATGGTTTGAAAAATATATGACTTGCTTTCTACAAATCATAAAACAGCAAGTATCTACTATTTAATGTCAGAACATCTATCTATGAAAACTAAAATTTCAACTAGCTGTCAAGAAGATGAGAGGGATATGACTGAGATTTAGATTCTGCCTTAGCTAGAAAACCCAAATAGGTTATGGAGGAATTCAAGGGAAATAGCAAAGTAGAACACAGACCACTTGGAGAAGCTTTGCAAGAACCCTGGAACTATACGACTTTCCTCTGCATCTGGGTGAATCAATCTTGTCCAAAGCTTTCAGGTCCCATCAGGAACTCACTGTTACTCCTCCCTTCCTGTTGTTTTTATGGGAGAACTTGATCCTAGTGTCCCTCGCGCCATGTTGATCACTGTCTTTTGAGTCTGCAAGGCGTGACTGCAATGCTCTGAAATTATAACTAGTGACCCTAGAAACTTTGTATGTGGCATAGCCCTGCTGACACCTTGATTTCAGACTTGCAGCCTTCAAAACTTCCTATTTGTCTTCACTAACTGAAATCCAAAATAGACGCCTGCTTTTATCCCTGCTGCTATACAAAATTGATGTCTAAGGCTGGAGGAGGTGTTTGAGCACAGCCTGAAGGCACACTTATGGAGGCCCACATATTCCTGGACAGGGGAAAATAGCTGAGTGTCCTTGAGCTTTCAAGAGGTATATGGAAGTGCTGAGAGGCTCAGGGTACAGAAATAGGCCTCGAAGTGGAATGAGAAAACCTCCAAGTCTATGAGATCTTGTGACTAGGCACAGTAAGAGACATGACAGGAAACAGCAGTAGATGCCAGCTCATGATAACCCAAGGCCTACAAGGGGAGCTAAGCCATAGTAAATACCAAATTACAATGCCTGAAGACCAGATGGGACACAAGGTAGTTAACCAGAGCACAACTTTTAGACAAGATAATCCCTCTCCTCACCCTCAATACACTTATACTCCAGGGTGGTACACAAGTCCCCAGGAAACTTAGGCGAGAACAGTAAAGACCTAAGAGGAGGATGTCAGAGAGGGAGGAGGGGCCAGAGGAGGAGGAAGAGAAAAATGAAAACTTCTTTCACTACCTGGAAGACATTAATTTTTAAAGAAGAGTTTAAAATATTGAAACAGCAAGTGTAGGAGATGTCCACATCATTTTAACATGTTTGAGTAATGACTGCAAAATTTAAACCTACTAAACGCAACTGCCAGAATGATATATTGTCTAATGGCTGGTGTCTTGCAGCATCCATTCCTGTCACCGGCAGAGGTTTTCTGATGGATACATAGAAAGATGAAATTTTTAACTTTTCTGCTATCTGCTTCAACCAAGGTCAGTCAGAGGGAGAAGTTGCATCAGCCACTGAGTGTGCTCTTCTGAGGTAGCTGGGGGCATTGCGGCAGATGCTACTGATTGGCTACCCAATTTCAGTTGGTCTCTAAACATCATTTGAGAATCTTTTTTAAAATGTCATGTACTTGTATACATTCTCTCCAAAACTTTTGCAATCTGCCAGTACATAAAGATGTACTTAATCAAGAATACAGCCAGGCTCAGAGGGACATCTGAAAGGAAGAGTTTGACCAATACCTCAGGGCAGAGCAATGGTTAAAGCAGGCAGAACACTTGCAGAACCCCTGGTTGTTAGGACTGCTTAATATGGAGAAACTGGGGTCCAATATCAGGTAGTCAAGGAGAGGGTCCCTGAGCCAGCTGAAAAAGCCAGGTGAATTCCAGTGGAATAGGAGATAGGCAGTGTGCAGAAGCTAGTCTGGTCAGCTGGAGTTAAGTAACTGACCTCATAATGTGGGTTTTGCTGACAATCACCAGCCCTACCTGCTTTTAAAGGCACACTGTATCTATCTGGACAGGACTTTGATGGAGTTCTCTTAAATCACTACTCTCCATTCTTAACTCTTTCTTAGATGGTTCCTTCTCACTTGCTCTCTATTTCCTTCCAACTTCAAGTTTATCTACATTCTTTGAATGCCTTCACTTTTATCCATTTCTGCATATTACACTCGCTTCTATACACACTACGTACCTCACAGTGAATGGGAAATCTTCTCTCACTAGCATCTTTATAGTTTTTAGGTCAAATCCTGCTTGCAAATTCTCATCTCTGTATAACTTGTACAATTTGTACTTTTCCTCCTCTTATATCCAGGCTGCAAAACACAGCTATAAAAACACAGCCTATTTGTACAGAATAGAGCCATTCCAAACATCAACTACCCAATTTCAGTTGGTCCATTAATATAATTTTTAAAAAATGTATGTACTTATGTACAGTCTCCCCAAAGCTTTAGTCATCTATCAGTCCTTTTGTTTGTATTAATATAAATAATAACTAATATTCATGAGCGCTCGTGGTGTTTTATAAGCATTATCTCATTTAATCCTCTGAACTACCTCATGACTGATACTATTATTGTCTCACCTTAACACCTTATCTTACAGGTGTAGAAATCTAGGTTTGGAAACATTAAGTCATTTGCTTCTGGTCAGTTAGTACAGGGAGGAGTCGGATTGCAAAGGACCCCCTCTCTAATTCCAAAACATCACATTTTAACCCCTAGGTGGCTCAGCAAACTTCTCAACAGGCTATTTTAAACTTCTCAATTGTTTCCAGCAGTTATCCTCACTTTCTATATCCCTGAAAGAGTAGATAACTGAACCCCTGCCTCTTAGACCTACCACAATTTACCCCTCACCATTTATCTGAGAATTATCACATTCAAATCCATCTTTCTTCTAGGTCTTTATCATTTATTACTTCTGCACTTTTGACCTCAGTCTACTAACTTTTTCCTCATAGGATATAAATATGGTAAAACACTGTGTATCTTAAGGGGAAAAAATGAACACGTTAACTTGTGTGTTGATCTGGTATTATCTTGTTTGGAATTCTTTGACATCTTTGACCAGGACATCTGGTTTATTTTCCAAACTGAAGTGGTTGTTATTATTTCTTTCAATAAATTTTCTATGCCTTTCTCTTTTTCTTCTTCTGGGACCCACTTGATATGATGTTATTTCACTTTATGTTACCCCAAAGAGCTCTTGTATAGCTTTCATATTTTTCAATTTTTTTTCTCCTTGCTATTCCATTTGTATGTTCACCACTGTTATTTCAAAGCTCACTGTCTTTCCATTATTTGTGTTTGTCTACCGCTAAAGCCCTCTATTGTATTTTAAAATGCAGTTATAGTGTTTTTAAGATCCATTAGCTCTACTTGTAACAGTGTCATATTTCTGATGTTTATTGTGTTTCTGTTTTTGATCATTCCTTGTTTTTCTTAATTTGGCAAGTATGGTTATAAATGTTACCTTGAACTTGACATCAGGCATATTCTGCAAACTGTTCTGCTGGATTAAGACTGGGGGCTTCTGCTTCTGCAAACAGTTCTGCTTCTCTGGGGGCTTCTGCTCTTTCTTTTGTGATCTATTATTCTGCCTCTTCATTTTTAGTTTTATGGGTTGACATAGGAGTTTTTCTTTTCTTATATTGATCGAGTGGCTTTATAGCCTATTTACAAGGAGTTGGGTATAATTATATGTTTTTTACTCAAGATCTTATATGCCTATTAATTCATTCACTGATGCCCTTGTACCTGTTCAGTTGTCTGGGGAATCTGGTTATGGTAAGGGGTAATAGGTAAGAAGGAACTGGGGCAGCGGGGCACCAAAATTTTCCTCCCATCATTACCAAGGGCTCAATCTTCCTACAGTGCTGTGGATACCTGAGTTGTGTGCTAGGGATACCCAGGCATCCCCTCCCCTAATTCAACAACAGCCAAAAGACCTCATACAGTGTAGTGCCAGCCTCAATCTTTAGGCTGTGCTTGAGCAATAGATGTAGTTCTGGATGGGGATTACATTTGAGATAGGATCAGAAGTCAGAAATTGTTCTCTTTGCTTTCTGTGTAGGGATCCTTACCCTGAGGCACTGACTCAGTTTGTTAAGATCTAGGTGCTTCAAACTCTGGTTAAAGCACCTAGTTGTTTCAATTTTGACCCTGGAAAGGAGTAGGGCAGGCTTTTCCTATGTCATAGCTTCAGGCTGCAAATAGTGGCCTCTTCTATGAAGGGTCACAGGTGATCAGAGCTGGGTGCCCTGATTTGGGTTCCAATTGTTCTATAATTTGGTTGCCTCAAGATCAAGCCAGTTATCCCCACTCTGCATCTTCACGCCTGCAGTTCTTCAGTGGTGTGCCCTCTGTCCTGCATGCTGACTCTGTGCAGCACCTTCTCCTTGTAGAATGCTGGCTTTTTTAAGACCCTGACGTGGCATGTGCCCTTGAGTTCACAACGGCAGAGGGGCTCCTTATAGCAGCTGCCTTTCCCTGTGTTGTGGGTTGTCCTGCCTTGGCATCGCTCCAAGCACAGTTCAGTTGCAGGTTTTTCAACTCCCTTTCCATTGTGCTGTTGCTCCTGATGTATGTGATAGTCATCTTTCAGGGGCTCTTGTCCTTATTTACTGTAATTTGGTTGTGAATATGTAAAAAAGGCAAACCCAGCATTTTCATGCTGTTGCCATCTCACCAGACTCCCAACTTACATATTTTGAGTTTGAAAGGTCAAATGAATGAAGCATTAGGTTGAACTCAAATAATCAAAACCCAAATTCTACATTCCATTGTCTCTGCAATGGGAATGCCAATAACTCAGTACTAAAATTTGCAATGATCAAATTCTGAAAGTTTCAGTATTAGAATTCCACGCAGTTCTTCCCACCCCTTCCCATAATACTCACTGATGGGCTTTCTTCCTGCTCTTTGCTCATCCCAACTCCATCTATTTGACCCTCCTGTCACTAACTTTTGGCATGAGCAACTCAGCTATGTTTGTGCCTAGGCTCATTATGTGGCAGCTGTTTTCATTACCATCTCATTATTTCACTGAGAGGGAGATGTTTCCATGGTGATACTGAACTGCATAAGTAGAAATTTTACTACATTGAGTTTTTATCTACTCAATGTACCAGTTAGAGGGGAATTGAGCTAGAACCTTTCCAGTAGGAAAAGGGATTGTAAATCTCCCTTCTGTTTCCTGTTATATGTCTGTGCTTTTCATCAGTGAAAGTATGTTATAATTATGAGTTCTTAACAACAGATGGGAGTGATGAAGAAAACTAGTAGTTGTTTCTTTTCATTCTAATTAACTTGTGCTTTTAATATATCCATGGAAGTTTCTAGAACAGCATTACATATTATACTTCAATATCACCTTTTTTTTTTAAATAATTCCACCAGGAAAAGAGAATTTAGAGTCCCAGGAAAAATTCTGAATGGCAACAAGACCCAATTACTATTGTGATTATTGCCTAAGCTTTGATTGATTTCAAAGCCGTCATTGCCTGGGGAAATAAAGGGCATGTCAGCATTTAAATTACTATTTAATATTTTCTTCATTTGTGAATGAGTGATGTTCACTTTTCATTAATTGCTTTGCAGTTAATCCTATATTTGCAGGAAGATTTTTATTAATACATTTTCCTTTGCAATAAAACTTAAATAATTTGATCTTCTTTGAAAGTAAATCTATCCCAGGCAGCAAATTCTTTATTCACCATTTGCCAGTGGGTTTTCAGCCAAATAAAACCACATTTAGATAACAATTAAGTTCTTAAGCTTTATATTCTTATTTTAATATAGCGGCACTGTGCTAGCTAAAGTCCAAAGGCAATTAAAAAGTTTAGAATAAACAGCATTGACATTGACAAAATTATTAAGGACATTAAACAAATGCACCAATAAGGTAAGTACACTGGAGCATGTGAGATTTAATACAGAACATGATCAAACCAATAATGTCATGGAATTCAATTTAATACAGATTTATCTCTGAACAAATCCCACAGACTTTGATCATGAGAAGAATGATGTTTTCAAATAGTTACTGTGTTCTTAGTGTTACTGCTATTGAAAAATTTCCCTGGCTAATATTAAATAAATGCAACCCAATAGGCTGCACAGTAGGATATAATTTATAACAAAATACTTCTTGAGGAACTATTATGTGTTAGAAACAGTGGGAGAATTTTTTTCCCTTTATATTATCTCATTTACTCCTTATAGTAATGGGAGATGGTTATTATTTCCACTACAGCAATGATGAAATCCTGTCAGTGTTAGAATTGTTGTTCAAATCTGTTGTTCCCAGCAATTCCACTCCTAGGCATCTACCCACAGGACACAAAAACATTAATTCAAAAGGATACCTGCACCCCTATGTTTATTGCACCTGATTTACAATAGGTAAGATTTGGAAACAACCAAAATTCCCCAAAATAGATGACTAGATCAAGAAGATGTGGTATATATGTATGTATGTGTATGTATATGTATATGTGTATATATATATCCCAATATATAGCCTATTTATACGTGTGTGTGTGTGTGTATATATATATATATATATATATATATATATATGGAATAGTATTCAGCAATCAAAAAGATAAGCTGATGCCATTCAGAGCAACATGGATAGGGCTGGAAGGGATTATGCTCAGTGAAATAAGGCAGAAGGAAAAATAAAAATATTGGGTGCCTTTACTTATAGGAGGAATGTAGGTGAACCAAAAAGGACTAAGAAAAAATTATAATAAA